ATTTTTTAATTTATTTATTTATTTATTATTATTATTATTATTATTATTATTATTTTTCTTTTTTTTTTTGGGAGGGGGGGGGAGGGGGTCTCACCCAACATCGATCCCCTACCGTAGTCTCAATCATGCAGTTGCAGGTCATTCCTGGACACGTAGACAAGTACTGTTTCCAGCATTTTATGCCTTAAACCTGCACAACATACTATTTGTAAGCTATCTTTCTTTTTTTCAAGTACCTGCGCTTGAGTAGTTGAGTGGCAGTGACGACACTGACGTACCCCTGGAGAACCTCAAAATTTCCGTAACGTCTCCCCACTGTTTGTCACTACTTATAAGTGCATATATGTAACTAAATACCCTATTACTAAGTCATTTACCTTGACGCAAACGCCTCATCCTCCGCCCGTCTGATCTGAAAGATATCTGGACATTTTGTGTCGTTTTACATAAATTTCACATTTGCCACGCAGAGGGATTCCCTAAAGATGGCGGGTTTGACCTAATTTTCAACGATGTCAAAACGAGGCAGGAATTCCCGGAGGCGTGGTTTCCGCAGATCAACAAAACTCCCGACTCTTTTGTGATGAAAATAACAACGGAAGAAAGCGAAATTAGCGGCAATTTGTCGTTGGGATTAAAGTTCCTTACCTAAATTAGTTAAACCGTGTCATATTATCTGTCCATCTTTCCCAAAAACCCTCAGTTTTATAACACTGTCTTTACCGCCACGTACCAACTTAAGGATGTAACAAAATAATTGATTTAAAATGTGAAAAAATATAAGAAACAGGCACTCACCTTTGTGCATATAGACGTTTTGTTAGATGAATGAAAGGATCGAGACTGATATCGGGCCTGTCAATGGGCCACTTTATATGACTTGTCAAAAATGCATGCATTATACCGGTATTTTGTACTAATATTATTGTAGTAGTTTCAAGAAAATTGATAAGTGAAAGTGAAAACGAAAGCAATTTTAAAAACATCTACATGTACCATTTATATGTTGCACCATAGCAGCACAAATCTTGTATGCCGTATACTCTCATATGTACCAACATAATTCGGTTGAATTTATCTAAAAAAAAAAAAAAAAAAAAAAAAAAAAAAAAAAAAAAGGCCAAAAGTATTTATACAGCTTCTCTTAATTATATCTATTTAAATATTTTTAATCTAATAATACTAGCTAGTATTTTGACATATACCAGCAGGGGACCATCGGTGTGACTTTTTCAGAAATCGAAGGGGGTCTCAGGGCAACTCCACAGTCAACACTTAAAGAGCAAAGACGTACTAATCAAATCTAAAATCGCCTAAGTGTGAACAGCTGTCCCTGTCATCGTGCTCTATAACGTCAAAGGTGAAACCAAACAAAACCAAACCAATGCAAAAATAAAATGAAAATGAAAACATATGAAGTCGTCTAACTAGGAACGTTCCGAGCGGGAAATCAATGAAACCGATCGAACTTGAATTGATTCAGTATAGCTTCAGGTATAACACCACGTCATACCACCTGTTAATTAACCGAGTTCAGCAGAAAAAAATGACATCTTCTCGGAGGAATTATTGCCTGTCATATTGCAATTTCATCAATAATGTGCTATTTTCTCGGTTGGATTATCAGAGAAAAGGTTTTACTTTTTATAAAAGGCGCGTTGCCTCTATTGCTTTTACCAGCCGTATTTTTTTTCTTTTTATGCACCCCCTTCCTATTTTGGCTCCCTGCGCCTCAAGACTGTTCATATGTTCATACAGTACCCGGAGCAACTCCAAAGTCAAAATTGAAAGAGCATATAGACTACTCAAATCCGAAACCGCCAAGGTGTGAACAGCTGTGTTCTCATCCAGTCAGGATTATTGGAAGGGGTGTCTGCGGGTGCGAGGCCAATCCTCTCCCGCCCCCTTGGCGTAGGGTTTGGCGTTTTAGAAGGCGAACGGTGCCATTTGGCATGGGTTACAACTATATGATTGAACAAGTCAAAATTCTAATTTTAAGAGGGGGCCATTGGTGTGATTTTTTTAAAGTCGAAGGGGCGTCAGGACCCCCTTGAACTCCCCCCCCCCCCCAAATCCGCCTCTGTACCAAGTATACAAAAGGTGCCAGTATGACAAGTTAGGGAAAATAGCATACTGTAATTCAGTTAGAGGTGTAAAACAACCTATTATTACAAAAATGCTGATTTCAAGTGTACATTGTTTTAAAAGAAATCTGCAAAGGGTAGACTTTTGAGGGGAAAAAAAGAACACAAAATGATGTAAACATTTTCGTTTTATTACAGGTAGTTTTAGTAACAGATGTTATTATTATTTTTTATTTATTTATTCACTTTTTTATTCATTTTTGATAAGTCTGCTTTGTTTCCTCTAACCAGTGTCCTTTTGCTTCACAATTTTGTTAAAACAACAAAAATTACTCAATAGTCACGTGGTCAACATGGAGCCAAAAAAAAAAAGAAAGAAAGAAAGAAAGAAAGAAAAAGAAAACGACTGCACAAACTCCTGAAGATACATTTTTATGAATGTTTGTTGTTTTGCACAATATTCTTGAGCTCTGCTTCAACTTCTCCCACAAATGCAGGGAAGCTACTGTCAGACAGGCATAGGCGGAGTATGGTGGACAGCTCCTCTTGAGGCATGTTGCTATGGTGATAGGAGAGAGGAAGGCTGGCAAACATTTCTCCACTGAGAGCCTGGCATAAGGAAAATGAATATTATTATTATAATAAATTATTTGTTATCTTTGAAGGTATAATAAAAATAATAATATGTTTAGCATGATAGCGCAACCTTTACTTTAATATCAGCATACTGCAGTAAGAATTGCTGTATCAGAAACATTCCTTTCATTAATATTTCACATTTATTTTATACTCATATTTTTTACATTTTGTACTTCAAAATGGTTTTGTATTACCATCACAATGCAAAAAATGATTCAATCTTATCAAGTTCATGCGATATGAAGTTCAGGGGGCAATACTGCAACAGAGACAAAAGTTTTCAAACATTCCATCCAGTCAGTGGATCTGTACAGGGGCGGGGGGGGGGGGGGCTGCTGGAGGTTATTGCCTCTCTCTCTCTCTCTATATATATATACATGTAGTTTATAATAGACAGTTACCTTAGCCATGTCAGCCACTGACACCTCCCCCACCAGACTCCTGGCCTCATCCATGTCTTCTTTTGCTATACATTCCTGAAATGAAAGGAAATAATAGTATAAAACCTTTTGATTTCATAGTTTTACCCAGAGTGTGACACCTTGTGATATCAAACACGCATAAGTACAGTCTAACAAGAATGTACTACCATGTTCTCTGTACTAGTACATGTAGCAGCTTTTTGGGTTCCCACAAAGAGGGAATCGGCCAAAAAATGCCAAGAGAGGAGGACACTGGCAAACCTACCCCTCCCTTTAAAACAGCTTTCTTGGTTTCTGCATTTTAGTGAAGAACTGGAGGACAATTTCTAGTGCTTTCTAGTACTCAAGGCAGCTCAAAGTGACAAACCTCAAATGCCATCACTGCTTCAAGATCCCCCTCAGCCTTCAGTGGGAAATATTTCCTCAGTGTTGCTGTACAGCTTGCACACTGCTGGGTGCCACTGCACAGCTCTGTGCTGGAAAATTTCAGCCGGAACTTGCGACTCTCATTCTGTAAGTATTAAAATTCAATAGGAATTTAAGCATTAGACATTTTATATTTGTGCATATTAAAAATATAAAGATTGGGGGTTAGTCAGTGCTTGATCTTTTCTCAACAAAATTATTATTAATATTATTATTACTGCCAAAATTGCACCTCGTTCCTACCCACTTAAAACTGGACATTAAAAAACATAGGTATGAACCAAAGAAATAAATATGACTGAGAAAACTACAAATTACTTTCTCTTTCAATTAAATACATAGATTAAGTTGTACACCTGATAAAGTTGCAATCTGATAAATGTAAATTACCTGTATTTTACACAGGATCATCATACTGTCCCCCTTACACACTCCCCTCAGCCAGGTGTGACTGCCCACCAGGTAGTGGCTCTCCTGAAATATATGGGGGTTTTGATACTTCACTGGTACCAAGTGAATTAAATGAGAGAGAGAGAGAGAGAGAGAGAGAGAAGGGGAGGGAAGGAAGGAGATAGAGGGAGGTGTGTGTGTGTGTGTGTGTGTGTGTGTGTGTGTGTGTGTGTGCACGCACGTGCAAGAGAGAGAGAGAGAGAGAGAGAAGGGGAGGGAAGGAAGGAGATAGAGGGAGGTGTGTGTGTGTGTGTGTGTGTGTTTGTGTGCGCACGCGCGCAAGAGAGAGAGAGAGAGAGAGAGAGGTGGACAATGGGAGAGAAAGAGACTGAGAGAAAATTTGTAGAAAAAGACAGAGCTAAGTATTTAGTAAGGTGGCGGGGAGAATGGTAAATGCATGAGTGGGAAAATACTTCTGATGTCCTTTTTCTCTGCATGAGAAATTTGTTTTGCTTTTCATTATTTTTTATTGTGAACTATGAAGAGAAAGGGGTGAAAGTACAGAGATACTGTGCATTATTTCCTTTATTCAAACATCTTATAATATTTAAATAAGTTAAAAGACAATATACTTGTCAATTAACTGCAAACTAACTTACCATAATCTTGTTTCCATATGATATCACAAACTGTTGACTCTCTGTCAAGGTCAGGGTCAGTGGGTTTTCGTCTGTTGCTTCATAATACTGCAAAGATTACAATGTCTTGGATCAAAAACAATTTGAAAACAAACAAACAAGAACATGGTCTTACGAGACACATTCAAATATCATCTAGAGTTTCAGTTTACTGGAAATTTATATCACTGTTCATCAACTATTAAATGTTCTTGGAAAGTTGTAAAACTCTGAAACTCATGCTATGGCTGTTCCTATATACATGTATTAAGTCTAGTTCTTCTTCTTATTTTTTTTTTATATAAAACTTTAAGATATCTTCTTTATTATTGAGTAAATATTTTAAATTACACTCATCCTTTTTATCTCAAACTTCCCTTTTTTATTAAATAAAAATAAATAGACAATAAAGTAAATAATATGCTAAAAAACAAAAACTGGCTTACAGTAAAAAGCTGTGGTGACAACTGGATGCCATCTGCAACTGAAGCAAAATAAAAAAGAAATGAAAGAATAATGATACAAATACCAAAAGAAAATATCTACTTGAAAAAAAAACACAGGAAACTAGTAAATTTGACTTTCACAGAGACACCAAAACACATACAGGTACATGTACTGCATATGCAAAATGTGGTTGTTTTCAGTAAGCAAATTAGCAAATTAATTATCACAAGCAAAACTGTTACACTATATACCAATGCTCTTGGCTATATATTACTCTTTGCTCCAGTATACAAGTTAATCTGGTGTTTTTATTAGTAGACATGGAAAACTATTTGTAAGTGAGTAATTTATTTTGCCACTAAGAGTACACACTTTCCACTCCATAGTCTCATTCTGTCTTGAGTATACTGGTTTTGTCCCATTATCAGCAGCAGTATTGACATATCTATAGGAAGAAAAACAAGAATACAGAGAAATATGAATGTGTCTTGCACACAACCACCTCAAAACCTAAGGCATGCTTCAGGTTAACTCATCCCTATTCACAGATATGCTGCTTTATGCTCTGAGTCTATTTTAATAAGAACATATGTAATATTTACAGAATAAGCAATATTTTATTTGTGAAACTGTGTCTTAATTTCAATGGTTAATTATAGATACAGCTAGTATTTAACCAATACTAAGCCATTTTGTCAATAAGACATGGGGAAAGTGTCCGTTTAACAGGTCATGAAATGCCAGAGGAGCTGCAAGTATTTTTTTCCATGAATGTGTCAAACTAAAGTCTATCGGCACATTGGGGGGGGGGGGGGGGGTATCAGACTATCACTCACCTGGCATATTTCAACAGGGAATAATGGTCAGTCGATGGTTTCAAGGCAGCCATGCCACTTCCCAATGGGAAATGGATGCACAGGTCTCTGGGTAAATAAACATATGTAAAACAATAAATAAACGAATGTGTGACTCACTTGGTCGGTGCTGGGCCTGGGGTACGTGTAATTTATCAAGCTAATTACATCATCTGCAGGCAATATCTCTCGCTATTGCTATTTGTATTGTTTCAGGTCAAATGCAATTTTCAAAAGCTAATCTAGGTAGTTATCTGAATTTTGAAAAGCTCCCTACAGAAACAAAAATTAAGGCAAGCTACTGTCGAACAACTCACAATTCCCGCTTCCGCGTGTGTACTCACAAACTTGTGACGTCACCATTTCATGTGCACAGGAAGATTCACTTCAGGAAGAATAATTATCTCAAAAATTCCCTAAAATGCAGCATTATTTATGAAGTAAAGATCACTTGGAAACTACATCTATACAAGGTAATGGGTATTTAAGCAGCAATGCTGCCGCATACTCCAAGGAACTTAGTGGTTTAAGTCGGTCTTGAAATACGTGCTTGAAGTTGCGTTGACCCTTGGCGTTGAGACTTGAAGTCGGTGTCAGTTTGTGTCATTGAGCGAGTCCACGGCAAATGACAACAACTAAAGTTTCTTTCAGTAGTTCTTACGTGCATCAAGTGTAGCAGCTTTCATATACGGTGTTTTCTGAAAAGCAGTTTAAAGGCAGATGTACCGGTGCATCGTTCTTACGAGCCATCTTAACTGTGAAAGACGCTGATTCTATTTGTCCCATTATCACTGTCAGTATAGTCAATATAACGATTGAAGTCAACCACATCAACTATTGACTACCAATGCAGTCAACAGCAGACATAACTATAAGTGACACTGACTCATCAGGTTGCATAGTCATCGCACAAGCACGTATGAGCCTGTATTGGTTTTGAAATACACACACATGCAGAATCAGCTGAGTAAGAAGTGGACAATATTGCAGTGTCCCTAGCTTATATATACCTGCTGTAATTGTATTGTAGTACATTGTACACGAAACATTAGTTTCATGAGTGATGACGTTGGTTACACATATCTACTTCAGCAGAGTGAATTCAGAGCACTGACACATGTATAGACCCAGCCTTTCATGTCACAAAGAATCTCAAGTCAGTTTGGGCGATCTTTCATTATGAATCTATCATTAAAAGGCTGCTTATAACTTATTTTAAACATGTTTTATTCTACACATAGACTGTATTTTCAGCAGAGTGAACCCGGTGACCATGTCCACAGCCAGCACACAGTATCACATGCCCTCGGAGTATGAGGATGAGGCACCTTTGTCATACGACCCTCAGTTCACGGCAGAGATTAGCAACAAGATGCAGGTAAACCCTTACAAATATCAACTTTGTCGCTGAACTTCTGTGTCACAAGTAATTTAAAATCAATTTGGGTAAAACCATGGGCCTTTTAGGATTCACCTATCTTAGTTGTGTATCAAAAGGAATCTTCCAGTTGAAGTTTTAAGATGATAACAATAAATTTAGGCTAAAACTGTATGTAATTTAGAATAAAGACATGCTGTCAACTAGATATTCCTGGTTTAAATTTTTAATATTTTGGCAAATGTTAGTGAAACTTAAAAAATTTTTCATGATAGTATCTCTCTCTCTCTCTCTCTCTCTCTCTCTCTCTCTCTCTCTCTCTCTCTCTCTCTCTGACCCCATTTCCAGAGATTAGATCGATCTACTTTAGATCGACCTAATTCCCTGGGGGTTCACGCTGAATAGCTGTCAGCCGGGCGGACACGAAAGTTAATTACCCCCTTACAGCTTGTAGTAGGCGGGACGGACATTTAAGCCGGATTATCTGACAGTAATCTAGTGAGACTCCCCGCGGGGATAGANCTCTCTCTCTCTCTCTCTCTCTCTCTCTCTCTCTCTCTCTCTCTCTCTCTCTGACCCCATTTCCAGAGATTAGATCGATCTACTTTAGATCGACCTAATTCCCTGGGGGTTCACGCTGAATAGCTGTCAGCCGGGCGGACACGAAAGTTAATTACCCCCTTACAGCTTGTAGTAGGCGGGACGGACATTTAAGCCGGATTATCTGACAGTAATCTAGTGAGACTCCCCGCGGGGATAGATCGATCTAAAAGCTCTGGGAATACAGCCTCTCTCTCCCTCTCTCTCTCTCTCTCTCTCCACCACTTACTTTCATACAAACATTCCCTCCAGGTACCTGACAGAATCCAGATGCACCCGCAGCCTCAGTCTGGATACCCTACTTACCAAGAGAACAACGAGGACCCCCACAGAGATGTCAGGCACGCAATGAAAGTACCAGACAGAATTGTCATTGCAGGTAAAATTCGGGTGTTTGCAGGTTAAGGTAGTTACTGGATTTTTTCAATGTGCCAAAATTATTTAACTTACAGATACATACTTTTAGGATCGCAATAATTACATCTCTGTGTAGCACTTGTGGTGCTTTAACTGCATAGCATAGAATAGAACTATAGAACATTGATGGGAATAATGATTTTTTTTCTGAAGACAGTCAAAACTGAAGGATGGATAAACAAAGATAATTTGGAAGACTATCAGAAAATTTATCAGGATCCACCCCGGTGAACAGATAGACATCCTTTCATGCTTGAATTGTTATTTATTCATTCTTTTATTATTTGGCATTTTTTTCCTGTACAAACAGGACACAACCAACACATAGGTATGAAGCAGGAACCACGCCCCCTAGACCTGGACGTCCTGACCCAAACTGACCAGACCTCACATTACGTGGGACTGACCACGCCCCCTCGCGTCCTGACCGTGGAGGAAAGCGGGTTCCCCATCATTGAGGAGGAGGAGGAGGAAGAGAGGGAGGAGGGCGGAACTGGAGATCATGGGTCAAGGTCACATAATACAACCTTGATGTTGGATATGTCAGCTCAGGGACAGCATACATTGGAGTGAGTGGGCATTATGTGTTTTATGATGTTAATTATTATTTTGTATTAGTGTATGTGTTCTCTTATTTGATTTGATAAAAAATTAAATGTGTTAAAATGGAATGTTGTAACTTAATTATTTACCTTTATTTCTTTAGTTTTTGTTATTAATAGTATTAGACCCTATTCCCACAGATTTTAGATCGATCTATCCCTGTGGGGAGTCTCACTAGATTACTGTCAGCTTAGCCGGCTTAAGCATCTGTCCCGCCTACTAAAAGCTGTAAGGTGGTAATTAACTGTCGTGCGTGCTAGGCTGACTGCAATTTAGCATGAACCCCCAGGGAGTTAGGTCGATCCAGATCTAAATCTCTGGATCGATCTAAATCTCTGGGAATGCACTCTTAGTTGTAGTATTATACTTATTATTTGAAATTTAGAAATCAAGATTTTGTGTTCTTTCTATAGCTTTATTCACTGATTGTTAAAATTATTGTTGTATTTTACTTTTTCTTTAATGTTTCTTTTATGATTAATGAATGTTTTATGCATCTCGGGTAACCTTACATCTAAATTGCCATTTTAATTTAGACAATAGGACATTTTTCAATCTTTTATTCAATATTTGTCCTGTTTTTTTCTTCAGCGCTCTTCAAGTACCTCCATACTCTCCAGGAGGTATTAACGATTCTTTAGTGGAGCTTGAAGAAGAAGATGAAAGAATAGTCTTACGGCGCCATGTGACAAAGCTAACTCGGAGAATTATGCAATTGGAAAACAGCGATCAAAGACGAGTACAAAGGGAAATCATATACTGTTCCTTAGCATCACTTTATTTGGTGTGGAAAATTTGGTCATGGATGAAAAATGGGAGATGATAAGAAAACTTCTAGCACAGATTAACTGGATGTAGATTTAAACTTGGGTCCTTAAATCTTTTTGCCAAGGGATGTGAGATGAGCCCAGCAGTTTAGAAGGTCAGGGTTTTTAGTTAATATTCTGCTATGTGGCTTCAGCAAGGTTTGTGAGATTTTTCAACACTGGACACAGAATACATAATCAAAATCAACTTTATAAATCTACTTTGAAGTGAGTTTTGTAATTGTGGAGAGAACTAATCAGAACAAAGGTGCTGTTTAAATATGTATATTCAAGAATGAATTAAGACCCAATAACTCTGTAATAATCGGCTGAAGGCATTTGATGAAATATCACTCACAGGTTTGAGGTCTTTTTATGTTTTTGGTGGACTGAAGTATTTTTAGTTTTCTGGGGACCACAGATGTATAATAATTAAAGTTGCTTTTTCAGATTTTTTTTAATTCAAAAGGCTTGCCCCAAATAATACTTCGAGTGGGGGTGTATACAACACCCTTTTAACTAAAGTTGTTTTAAAACTATTCTCAGAAAGTAGACCGTTTGATTGCACTTAACTCATCAACTGTGTGCTCCCCTAGTTTACGTGTTACCTCAAGTAGATCAAGTGCAGTTTTATATTCATGTACTACGTAACTTTCCCAATGTGTTCTGCTGGTAAATATGTTCTAGATAGGAAATGCTCTTATGGCGATGTTTTCCTGCAGTCTATAAACAGGTTTGGTTCAGACGGTGTTGTACCTCTCCACTCCAGCTCGTGTATGATATTACCGGTAAACTTTCAAAGTCGCCAATACGGCCTCGTAATGTCAACAATTAAAAGCATGGCAATCAAGGGGATGAATTGTGTTTTTAACTGATTGAAATGTGATTATGCATGGTTATCAATGTTAATCTTGTTCTAATAAATGTATTTGATAACACGTTAAAATTGTTTGATGCTTCCTTTATTGTAAAGGGCTACATCTGATATTTTTTAATATTTTCTGCACGCGTCTGAACATTTCCCAAAGTCACATCTCCATGCCTATTTATCCTGCGAATGGCCCCATTTCAATCATAACGAAATAATAAAACCCCTTGAATAAAAGTGCCAGAATCTGAAATGCCATGAAGGCATGATGGTCTTAGACAGCATTTCGAAAAGGTGATCCGCCAAGTAAATATGGCCGAACCCACTTAGAAAAAGCGATGTTCCACAAACAACAATATTCAACATGCTAAGTATAGCAACAAACGGAGTCATGCATCATTAACGTTTATTTATTTTATTCACGAAGAAGTAATAAATTAAACAGCAATGTCTGTCTTATTGCAAGGATCGCAAAAAATAAATTGAGACGCTGTACTGAGTTTATAGCTACTGTATAGCCGTAACGCTTTTAGCACTGGGCAATGCCTATACGGTGGTTTTTGGTCTTTTTCCTTAAAATAAACAAAATTCTTTTTATCCCAAGGCTGCTACATCGGATATATTAATCAAGATAATATTTTATGTCGCAGCTCAGCAAAACTTCTCTGCGCTCGTCACTGTCATGTACAGCTTGCCCTTCGCACCTGTGGCACTGACGCCGTAGCCAAGACGATTGCAGGATTTGGAACTGAAGCGAACCGTTATTACTATTAAAGATTTTTGTAATAACGTGAATATTAAAAAATATGTCATCAGCAAGATTTCAATGTGTACAATAATTACAATTCGTTCGACCTAAAAATCTGTGGCCATTGAAATTGAAACTACTAGTTGTTACAAAAACGTTGCCCATTTGAGTCGCTGTTTTTTTTTTTTTTTTTTTTTTGACAGTTCAAAATGCCGTAAATTAACAAAATAGTTATAATTGAAGATTTCTAATAACGATAGACTTTGAAGATTTTTTGACAGTTTTAAAGCAAAGCATAGCTTAAACCATCTTTACAGCTGTACCTGACTGCGTTTTAGGATATTTCTTTGTTTTAAGATAACGTATAAATATTAGACACTAAGGACTCACTCATTTTCAGCGCATGCAGAGAACCCACAGCCGCCCTCTATCGACTTGGTATAGATATCTATGGCCACGTTGTGGGATCTGACTGGATTGACACTGACAAATCCCTTGTTGACAAAGATATCTATGTCGCCTGCAACGATAAAAATGACCATGAAAAAACAATTATGGAAACCATCTTGTGCAACACGAGTGACTCAAGCACATTTTCGAGAAATTGCGGGAATATGTTATTTTTTAAGGGAAAAAATCTATTGCGCATGTTGGACAGCTAAATTCACTCATTCTTAAAAATCAAACGGTCCGCATTATATTTTACTGGCCGTTAATATCAAATATCAATTTCGGGTGATATGAAACGATGTTCTTGAGTATTTCTCTAAGTTACGAAGTCTTTGAAACTATGTGGTGGCATTGGATCGGATTTTGTGGCAAAATTGACTTCAAGTTGGTTGTCTTACCTGAGGACAGGTAAGCATTGTCTTACCTGAGGACAGGTGAGCGTTGTCTTACCTGAGGACAGGTGAGCGTTGTCTTACCTGAGGACAGGTGAGCGTTGTCTTACCTGAGGACAGGTGGGAGATGGCGCTAGTGTGGACCACCTGTACCAGGTCTGCTGCCCCTTTGTAGGACGCTGCTACTGGATCCAGGGCTGGAAACATATTCGAAGTCATATCGGTACAATAATAATAATAATAATAATAATAATGATTATTATTATTATTATTATTATTATTTATTTTTTAAAAACGCGCTACACATGCGTCTCAGGGCAGTTAACATATGTATAAACACATGTAAACCAAAACTACACAGATAAATTGAAAACCAATATAAAAGTAATTAAATCTAAAAGATGAAAATTAAACAAAATTTCTTTGAATAAAAGGTTTTAAATTATACATATAGGCTATAGCGTATCAGTGTAGCGCTATACATGTATGTAATATGGCAATGAAAAACACCCGAGATCCTCGTGATGATTAGGAAATTCTTTGCATCAGAAATGCAGTGTACTCAGTATCTTCCTTTGGTCCAAAACTTATAATTATCTGTCAATATCTTACCTACGAAATTAGCTACTTTCTTGCCGTCACCGGCGAGGGAGTTACCGGCCACCTGCATGATCTTGGCCCCCAAAGAGAAACCAATCAGATTCGTGTTCTTTGGACTCAGACCGAGGCCGTTCATGGATTTAATCACTCCCGCCACCTCGCCACCAACGAAATGGGCAGAGGTCGAGGAATACAACAGATTAATGTTCTGGGATGCGCTGCTCCAGTCGACGACGATAACATTGGCGTCCTCCTGTGAGAAATAATGAGAAGAAAATTGATGGTACGGTATATATGTGTGTAGAGTGAAAAAATAGGCGAAAGTCGTTATCTTTGTTTCTTTTATAATAAAGTTAGTTGAAAGCACTGTTGAATGTGGCGAAGGCCTTCTGAAGAGTGGTGGAAATCCACGCCTTTAAATTTTAGGTAAAACATGTTAAGTCTGTATATTTTATTCACTATTTACTTTTTCTACCATTCTACCATTTCTAGCCTTTTTTTCTCCACTCTATCTTTGTCTTCCAATCTTTCCCTTTTCCTTGTCCTTTGTTTTCTATTTCTCTTTTTTGTCCCTTATTCATTTCATTCTTTCTTTCTTTCCTATCTTTTTTATTTATTTTCTTTCCATAGAATCTACAACGAATTATAAGCAGGAAATTTTTTACAGTCATTGAAATATTCCCAGCTCACCTTCCTCAGCAAGGCCTGCACCAGCGGTCCATTGAAGTCATCGGTACCAGATTGCAACCAACCGTGTGCGAAAAAATACGTCTTCTTGGAACCATCAAACTTGGCAGACTGGAGTGTCCTGGATTTACGAGTTATGCACGATCCTCTCGTGTTGGTCCTGGTTAAGGAAATAAAAACTGCAGTTTGGACTATCGGGGGTACTGTCTCTTTGATAAATGTTAATCTATTTTGGTTTGCATATATGGAACGGCATATTTTCAGATTTGCAGTTGAACAACTGTATTGTAAATGTTGAATAGATTAAAATGTAATAAATTTAAACTTGGCTCCTTTACCTCAATGAAGGGCGTTTAATGCATTCTGTGTCATGGATTAATTTGTTGGACAAGGTTGGTCACAGTTATTCAAGATATTTTAAATAAAGCATTATAAAGACAATATCGCATTCAACAATTGCGTAGTTTACAAGAGTTCAAAGATAAAGGCATTTGCAGATGTATGGCTTTGGCCCTACTAGGGATTTTCATACCTACTACTTTTGATTCAAAATTGAAACTGGCTCCATTCTTTCTACGCAGTTATTACAAAGTGACTTTTTTCTCTTTGTGAAGTGTTTCTTTCCCAGGGAAATTAGAATTGCAAATTTAACCACAACATTTGGTACATAAAAAAATCGTGCTACCTCTTTAAAAATTCAGGGGTCAAGGCAATACAATCTCACAAGTTTTCTTTCAAGACTTTTTCCTCACCTGGTGAAAATTTTGAAGGTGGCGGTGGTCCACGCGGCACGAGGACAGTCCTGGGAGTCCCCCTTGCCTATCTGGACCGTCAGGTCACTTTGACCTGGAGGCAAATATGTAACCAATCGCGTCAGTATACTAAACAGACAGACAGACAGACAGACAGACAGGCCGATCTACGGTCACAGAGACAGGCAGGCAAACGGACAAACAGGCAGACAGACAGACTGACTGATCTACGGTCACAGAGACAGGCAGGCAGACGGACAAAAAAGATCTACATCCAGCTAGACAGGCAGACAGATAGTCGATAAAACAGATAATAAACTAAAGATTTTACTCTGTTTTCAGCTCGAATGATTTTTTTAACGATCAAAATGTAAACAAACAAATCTGATATTAAGACTAATTTGTTAATGCCTTAGGGCTTCTTTTCTTTTCTATTTCTCTTTTTTAATTGCTGATTCCGTACATTTCATTTGTGTGGAACAAAATTGTCATATCATCTTCACAATTTTTCACAAAACTGCACTGAAGAATTCTAAATTACTTACCGTAGGCGCACAGGAAGAAGAGACATAGCGCAGACAGGGTAAGGTGCAGCATTGTATAACGTCCCAGGGTATACTGACCGCCGATTGCAAAACTGATCCGGCTTTATACCAAATAAATGTCACGATCTTTGCAGTATGCCATGTGGGACTGGGACAGGTGTATTCGTCCATGACCCACTCCTTAGAGAGCCATCCTTCCAGATATATTTGTTTGGCGGGTATAATTTAACTGTTGCCCCCCTCAAAGGAGGCAAGGGCACTTTTGGAAAAATATGTAACAATCTTTGGGATCTTGCCTTAAGTTTGTCGGCCTATGGTGATGAAGTATTGCCTTCCATTTTGGTAAGGACAATATTCCCGTTGTTGAAAGAAATATGGCTGTGCCTGTGGACTTAGGGGCCCCCGATAAGGATCGACCCTTGTCAACAACCCTCATCCCGACTTCAACTACATGTATGTTGATGTGGCCTTGACCCAGTTACATGTATACTGACCCAGTCGTTAATTGGTGATTAATTTAGCTTCTTAACAAGTCGATATTACGAGACCCAAAATTCATTATGAACACCCCATTTTGAACTTTATATTATAACATGGTTTAAATTTTGTTTCGCTCACGTCAGACCTATGAAAGGAATTACCAAGTAGTCTGGCGGTCGCTTTTATTTACCTTAATTTAGGTAGTCTAATATAAATGGAATCATGATTATAATTACACTTAGTCGAAAACAGAAGTTTTCAGCGTCCGTGCTAGCAGAACGCAGTGGCGTCCTTGACCGTGATATAAAGTTTTCCCTTGGGACCACTGCTGCGAACCCCATAGCCCATACTGTTGCACAAGGTTGGGCTGAAACAGAGGAAGAATTCTCCTTGCGTTAATATATTCATTTAGTAGTAAATGTTAAAAGAAAGTAAGGAGCCCTAAAACCCCATCATGGTCTTTCAAGAAATAATTATAAGCATCAGGCCATTATAAAAAATGGGGTGTGTTCATATCGTTTCCAATTATGAATTTAAAATGGTTCAAATTTAATATTGATCACTTGATAGTTTATAAATTCTTGGATTTTATTCTGATGTCATTTACATATTTAGGCCTATTTTACAGAAAAACACCCAGTTACCCAAATAAAAACTCTACTGAATATGAACGACACTCACTTAGTTTTAGCACAAGCGGAGAATGGACAACTTTCGTTCACAGATTCCGTGTACATGTGTATGGCGACCATGTGAGACTCCATCAGGTCTCTACTGAAGGCGCCTCCGTTGACAAAGAAATCAATGTCCCCTGCCAATGTAATAAATAAATAAATATAAACACTGAAGGACATATAATGATACGGTTATAATTACTGGTTCTAAGACCTTGCTTGAAGATCAGCTGGGAAATCGACATTTGAGACGTTTCAGTGTTGAACAAGCAAACATTCACTAATAAGTGAAAACATTATAGATAAAGAAAGATGCAATTGTCTCGTCTAAACGCAGCTTTAGAGCACGCAGATGTACCTGTTGAGAAAGCTGCGATTGGACTCGTGTGTACCACCTGGACCAAGTCGGCGGAACCCGAGTATCTCCCAGCGACGGGATCCAAAGCTATTAGAGGAAACTCAGTTTTAGTTAATAGGTAGAACATTTAAATTGAAATTAGAGATTTCAAGATAAATAATTGCACATTCCAAATCAACACAAAACTAGCATTCGAAGTCGATATCAGAATGTTGGTTTAGTTAAAGTAGCTACTCTGAAATGCGAAACCAATATTCATACCAACAACGCTGGCGACTCTCTTCCCGGCTGAAGCAAGGGCATTTCCGGCGACCTTAACAACTTTTCCGCCAAGTGAATGACCAATCAGATTAACTCTATTAGGACTTAGGCCAAGCGTTGTCATGGTACCCACGAGCGCGGCAACGTCGACCCCTACAGATGTGGCAGTCTTGGAAGCTGTCAGCAAGTTAGGGTTCCTGGAGCCTTTGTTCCAGTCAATAACGATAACGTTGGCGTCCTCCTTATTATTATAAACCAAAACAAAGTTAGGCGTCTGTTTTTTATATTATACAGTAAACTAATATAAGGCCAAGTTTGGAATAATTTCAATCGTGTTAATGAGATATATTCTATTCCAATTGCAATCGCCTTCTATTGACCAAGTATTAAAAACCAGATGATCTTTATAACTGCCGGTTCCGAAGAGGGTCTGAAACTCTGTCTTCCCTTCTTGTATTATTTCGTATTTAATATTCAATTCAACAGTCCTCCTCCATGTGGTCTTGGGTATGCCTCTTTTTCTATGCCCCTCTGTTGACTAGTACATGGCTACTTTAGTGGTGGAATTTGGGTCTTTCCTCAGGCGAAAGTTGGGGGACAATTCAACATCTAGCGAGAGACAGAGAGGAGTGGAGGACCTTTGTTGACGCCCTAGACTCCAACGGCGTAATAGGAGATAGAAGAAGAAGAATAATATTCAATTATAAACTGGAAACATGAAAGGTCAACGACGGAACATACCTTACGCAGCAATGCCTGTACCAGAGGCGCCACGTAGGAGTCGGTACCTGAACCTTGCCAGCCATGGGAGAACAAGTACGTTGCCTTGGATGAGTCAAAATTGGCTGTCTTCAGGCTGTTTGCGTAAACAGTGACGCAGTTTCCCATATTGTTATTTCTGTAACAAAAAAAAAAATATATATATATGCTGTACAGAATTTTAATTGTAAATATATATATATATATATATATATATATATATATATATATATATATATATATATATATATATATATATATCACAAACCCAGGCAGAAATCCTAATAACTTTAATTTATGGAGACAATTTTTTCTCCCTATTAGTCGAGAATATTTGCCTACAAACACTAAAAGATAGAAAAGTAATTTCTTTCTTTCTTATTTAATTAATTTTATACGAAAACGCCGCTTATTGGTTGCTCTACACAGGGATAAGATAACATCGTCTGTAAAACGTGATGAACAGCATTACATAACTAAGTATACCAATACTCACCTTGAGAATAACTTAAAATTAGCGTTTCTGTTTGAGGCCTGATAACATCCCTGTGAAGATGAGTGCCCCAAATACTCCTTTAAAGCGTTCACATTGGAGGCAAGATCCGACTGGCCTGTAGAAAAAATACCTACGTGATTGATTAAAATCCTTGAATCTTTAAAATAATCTTAATATTTTAATGTTTCTCGCTATTTAATGTTGGAAAACGTAACCTAATAATTATTCATTCTCAACTGACAGTGATATCAAAAGGGGGATTAAAGCATGTTAGGTTTGTTCTATTCTGACTGTTTTAAATATCGTAATGGCTGGACATGCAAGAAACGGCCGGTATTGCATGAATGATACGATGCATTTTGTGGCATGCTACTGGATTGACTTTACTCAAAATGAGAAATTCCTTGTATTTTTGTTTTAAAAATCATACACGTATGCTCATTAAGATTCTTAAAACAAAAAAATGTTCCCAAGGCATGGGATTGGGGTCCAAAGACCAACTTCCATAACTCGGGAATCTTAGGGCAAACGAAAGAAAGGAAGGCTAAGAGAATCTTGAAGAGAGACTGTAAAAAGAAAGTGGGGTGAGATGAGGTGCTAGCCGGAAGAGGGAGAGGGGCAGCACCAGAAGTGTCAGGGATAAGTCAAGATGGAGCGATCTGTGCCTCTTCTCATGCTTCAAAGGAGGAGCAAAGGGGAAAGAAGAGAAACTGATTGCCAAAAGATCAACAATAGAAAATGCATTATTTAACCAGCGCTTCCTTTAGGATAACAGGGGGGATTCACAATTTTCAGATTTGCTGTACAGAATTTTAATTGTAACCAAAAGATTAATGTACATTACACTTGACATTATGTGCAGGTTGGCACCCAGCTATCCATTTTTAAATGTGAACTCCTTACGTGCTTGTTCTACTTCCCTCAATCAAAAAAACGCCAAATAGCCATTTCAAAGACAGGAATATCAAGGCTTTCGCACAACCTGTCACAGAAGAATAGATAAAAATGCTCAATACCTCTATGTATCTAGTTTTCCAAACATTCTAAACTCATAAGCAAGACTTAAGGTTCATTTGTCATATGAACATTACCTAATCTTACCTGCAGTGTAAACGAGACTGCAGTCCTAGCCAACGATACAAGACTTTTATTATCACTTTTCCACCCAAGTTTACATATTTTAACTCTGTTCTTTATCCAGAAAACCATTGTCCTCAACTAAACCATATCTCTCAGTCGTGATCGGTTTATAGGTAATGATATATGCAATTGTCTCGTCTGAATGGGCTTTCATTTAGAATGCGTAGGTTTACCTGTTGAGAAAGCTACGAATAGAAAGCATGCAAAGTTGAGAAATTTAATCACCAAAAAAATTCCTATAAAAAGTACATGGTTGTTTTTAATTATGCATGAGCTAAGCTGGACTGGTTGTGAATTTTTGAACGGGAACCTACAGTACCCTTCTCCCGCCCGTCACGCACCAGTACACGCGAGTTCAGACAGCAGCTTACCTCTGACCGCCAGATTAAGACAATTTAGCACGGAAAACAATAAAACCAGCAGCATCTTGGCGTCTTTAAATAAGATATATCCACCCCTGGGTCCTTTGGGTTACTGTGTATGTGTGTCAGTGTGTGAGTTAATGTGTTAAGCAACCGTGAGAGTGCCGCACGTGTGTCTTATCTCAATCGTTTATCGCGAGCTTTGCAAGGGAAAATCTCATCGTCTTTGATACATGATATAAGATAACCATGACTGGGGCGTAAATTGCAGGTGTGCACACCCCTTTCTTGCTGCCTCTCGCAGAGATTTAAAAAAGTTTAACCTTTCTCTCTCCCCCAGTTCGTCAAATTTCTATTACTATTCCTTCAGTCAACGTTAGCGATAGGCATACAAATAACCTGCTTGTATATTTATAGGGCTTTAACACTTTCCCCTCAAGCATTTGTCTCACCTTAAGGTCATGTATATGTACGATGTACACTCACGTGCTGTTTATAGCCAGTCTCGTTCGTTCTTACTGTTAATTTACACATAACGCATTCACGTTTCGTATATCGTGCAAAGACCGCTATGATGTAGAGGGTTTTTTATCTATATAACTCAAATACATGGATTACATAAACTGCAGTTACACAAAATCGTATACATGTTTTTATAAACAAAATATTTATTCACTTACATACGTTTGTTAATTGAAAAATGTATACCAAAGTAAATGAGAAAGCACACAAAAATACATTTCTTTAATTGAGCAAATTTTACTTTGCCTCTAAAACATGTCTGAATAGCGTCGCTTAAAGGCACCAAGAGCAGCAACTAAAAAGGTAATGACAACCAATAAAAATACATTTCAACACTGTTATAGTTTTTTGTCGCTTTTCTGTAAAGAAAAGAATTATTGTACATATGTACAAATCTCTTGACCTCAGAGAATGGACCATTATTGTACACATACCAAACAGTGGCCAATTGCAATGTGAGTCCGTAGCCTTTCTACCAACAGTAGTAAGGCCCCAACCATGTCAGGAAAACCAGTGTTTTAATGTTTCGTTTTCATTTTCAAATTCTGTTTTGTCAGTTTCAAAAACTCACAGGGCTTGAGAGACGTACATTTACATGTACACTGTACTTCATTATGCAGATTATACCAATGGCTCAACTTTTTTTCTGAAACATTAAATCTCTAATTGGCACAAGTACCGGTTCCCAACCCTTAACCCATTCAATAAAATGGAAGAGACATTAAATATGATCAATGCGCCTGCACCATCCTATGAGTTCATATTACACGTCCCAACATTTTATACGTTCAGTGGCGGCAGGGCATGCTGGGGTCTAACACCCAGCAGATTACTGGGATCATCAACAGTGCGGAGCTGCTCCCATTTTAACCAATCCTCGTCGTTATACATTTGTCTCGTGACTCGGAAGCCACCAGTGTCCCTAGCATCCAATCTCTCGTGGTAGTAACCATAGTAACCATGTGGACCGCGCCATATTGGATTGCTAACACCGTCGGGTTTGGGATCATAGAGCGTTCTTGCACGCACACCTGTACGATGAAGGTTAAATGGGTTTGTGCAGTAACCATGGAGACTGAGCTCTGGCTTGTTGGTCATCTTCATCACTCTGTGTCTGTTATATGCTGAGGGAAAAAAAAATGAAAAATTTTACATTATTTCGTATTCATTTTTTTTTTTTTTTTTTTTTTTTTTTTTTTTTTTTTTTTTTTTTTTTTTTTTTTTTTTTTTTTTTTTTTTTTTTTTTTTTTTTTTTTTTTTTTTTTTTTTTTTTTTTTTTTTTTTTTTTTTTTTTTTTTTTTTTTTTTTTTTTTTTTTTTTTTTTTTTTTTTTTTTTTTTTTTTTTTTTTTTTTTTTTTTTTTTTTTTTTTTTTTTTTTTTTTTTTTTTTTTTTTTTTTTTTTTTTTTTTTTTTTTTTTTTTTTTTTTTTTTTTTTTTTTTTTTTTTTTTTTTTTTTTTTTTTTTTTTTTTTTTTTTTTTTTTTTTTTTTTTTTTTTTTTTTTTTTTTTTTTTTTTTTTTTTTTTTTTTTTTTTTTTTTTTTTTTTTTTTTTTTTTTTTTTTTTTTTTTTTTTTTTTTTTTTTTTTTTTTTTTTTTTTTTTTTTTTTTTTTTTTTTTTTTTTTTTTTTTTTTTTTTTTTTTTTTTTTTTTTTTTTTTTTTTTTTTTTTTTTTTTTTTTTTTTTTTTTTTTTTTTTTTTTTTTTTTTTTTTTTTTTTTTTTTTTTTTTTTTTTTTTTTTTTTTTTTTTTTTTTTTTTTTTTTTTTTTTTTTTTTTTTTTTTTTTTTTTTTTTTTTTTTTTTTTTTTTTTTTTTTTTTTTTTTTTTTTTTTTTTTTTTTTTTTTTTTTTTTTTTTTTTTTTTTTTTTTTTTTTTTTTTTTTTTTTTTTTTTTTTTTTTTTTTTTTTTTGTAATCGTGAAAATCAGTCTTTGCAAAAATTAATGATAGTAGTTGTTTCAACTTCATAATATTCCTAAAGAGCTATTCAGAAAGTATGCACACAATGTTCAATCTGTCCTCAATTCGTTTAACTGTAATCCTCTGATAATTTATTTTCAAAGGAACACAAGTCAGACACTTAGACCTATTTTGAAACTCTACATTTGCGGTTCTCAGTTCTACTATGTCATTTTTATATTAGGCTAATCTGATTCTTCAAAGACTTATATTTGAAAAGTGACCAGAATTATCCATTTTTTAAACTTTCCATATGTACGATTTTATCATTTCAACAGCAACTTAATGAAAGCCCATACCTGGAGGTCTATCCCGCAGATACTGGAATTTCCTCCAATCATCTTCATTGTCGTACTCCTTGGCGTCTACACGTCTCTGCGGTGGGAGATGGCCGTGTTTGTGGTAGCTCTCGAAGGCGCGTTCTGAGGGCACGTACCAGGCGGCGCCCATGTATACCTCACTCTTCCCATCGCCTGACAGGTAGTTGTTTGTCGGGGTGTAGTATTTTGGCTTGAGCGTGCGGTGGCTCCTGAAAATGAAATGAAATAAATAAATAAATAAATAAATAAATACAGGTCTGAATAAATTAATAGGCCCAATGGAATTATTTCAGTGTTTTAAAATATGCATCGCAATTCCTAAGAATTTCAGAGGCATTCGAGACTGACTATTGGCCTGGACCTGATTTAGTTTTTTTGCTTATGTTTTTCATTCTTAGGCTATTTGTCATTATTATTATCATTTTGATACTCAAAGCTGCACACCAATAATTTTAATTCAATAGATATAAGACATCATATATATATATATATATATATATATATATATATATATATATATATATATATATATATATATATATATATATATTTAGGCGTGCATATTTTCTTATGTACCAAAGTTTCTTTAAATAATGCCCCTCCCGCCCCCCCCTCGACATACTGATACTATGATTTTTAATCCCAATTATTCTTATTTAACACTGAGAGTGGTTATAAATTTTCATTTGATTTCATGTGATTTGCATAGGAAGTTCGTGGTCTGGTTGGTAATTCCGATACTCAGAAAAAGTCACTTTGAACGTTATGACCTGAAAGGCGTACATTCGAGGCAGACACCTAATGTATTCGATGGGACAGGTTATCGAGTTGATAAATACAGCTAATTATTATGATACTTACAATCTCTCATAATAATGCTGCGCCATTGTCGCCGATCTTACGAGAAAGCTTCGTCAACAGACGGACTCCTCTCGTAAATCTCTGGACGGGATACTGTTACTGGGGCCAAGACGCCGGACAATGCGTTAACACTGGCTGTCCGCGAGTGTTTACAATACCTCTAATGCGACTCAATAACGCCTTAGCAACATGACGCCACATCCTGAGCGGTGCATTGTGGGAGGAACGCAATCCGAGAGTGTCACCTGGCAGGGTGACCCAACTATCACAACCGCTGTGTTAACTTTTGTCCTACGGATTATTTGGAATAAAGGCATTTATTGTGAAAACAAACGACAAAAGCGACACGGCCTAATATGTGTCGAGTATTTCTGTATAGTGAACCGACATTTTTGTCATTGCATTAACGGCAGACAACGCGTACGCGATTACGTCGATCGGCCTTCCCACACTCAATCTATGTCTGCTATAGAGACCTGCATGTAGGCCTATGTCATTGCACAAATAGGCCAGGGCTACAGTTACCATTCTGTAGTAGCAAGCACAGCAGGCGACGCCGGTGCTCAACATTAACCACATTATTTTTAATTACTTTTAAGCGAATAAGATATAAAATAGGAAAAATAAGTTTTGTATATGATTACCCCTTGTCCTATAGGGCCTACATACACTACTGTAGGCCCTATACTAGAGGAAAAACACTTAACAATTTTGTGAAGTGAAAGATTGCACTTTATTCGATACTTCAAGCAAGCGATTGCGCATTAGCATATAAAATTGAGCAAATTCAATCACCAAGAAAAATATTCTTTCATTTATACTAGCAGCTCCAAATTCAAAACAAAAAATACCATAACAATTATCTTTCAAGAGATCATAAGAGACTGCAAATCGTTCTTGAAGCTCAGAGTCGCACAAAATTAATTAGCCGAGCCCTTATAAATTCATTGATAAAATGAGATCGTCACCATTTTTCCTGCATAGTGCATAATTTTAAACAATTAATCCAAAATAAGATATTTTTGGTTATTATTTTCTTTAGCGATTGCACTTTTTATGTCCTTTCATCATTAAGACATCAGTGATAAATTAATCTACCATGAATCACCTGATTGTCGGAATGGTAGCCGTACATAGATAAATCACCAGTAATGCTAATGCAACATTTTTTCTAGGGCGTATATGCAGGTAAACGTGATCCAATTATATGCTTTCCACCTGTCTTAAAAAACGAAATAAAATCATTCACCTCTTTTGGGGTGGTTACAATATACCTTTACTAAGGCTTAAGACCACTAGAAATATAGTTTAGGAATACATGATAAACCTGACTAGATACAGAATCGCAATGGATTAATTGTAATTAGACCTTTTGCACGTGACGTCATTGAAGGGCACAAAAAGAGAGCTCGTCTTAGGACTGCTTCTCTGATGAACGCAAATTTCGCCGATAGTAAAACTAATTCTGAAGTAGATTTAATAAAGGCACAAGTGTCTAAAAGAGAATATCCGAAGATTAACAAGTGTGCTGAAGTTTCACCATTTCTTATAGATATTTCAAGTTATCCCGCTTTTGAGTGAGAGTGCAACTCTATCAGTGAAAGGGTCTACATAAGTAAATCACACAGTCTTCGTATAAATAAGCAGTATCAGCAAAAACATACATGCACACTGCGAATGTCTATGACTTATTTTACAGTATACATTTATCAGAGTTTGAATCTGATGTGTGGTAATAAAGCAACGTTTTATGTGCTGTATGAATCCCAAAGTGTAACATTTCGTTCGATATTCGCTTTGATACAAAGTCGACCTTGGTAACACGTTCTTACCCGATCACTGTGTCTGTGTTGATTAATGAAGTTAATCAATAAAGGGGCGCATTACATGCAAGTGTCACTTGATAGGCAATTAATCATTTATACTTTCATCGATGTTTTTATCGTTTCGTGCAGACATCATTGCACTACAATACACGATGAAATACATCGTTATAATTCTAAAGGGTGTCTGGTGATAATTTTTGAAAACATGAATTTATGAGCAAATATTTTTTGTTCCCCTAAAATGATAGGTCCTATAAGTAGAACTCGTTGACGTCTTCTTCAATGAACCAAACGGACCTGTTTTACAATTTATACATGGTTTAAAAAATAATTGAATTCAAAACCACCAAATTTTGCGTTACTTAACATCTTAACACATAAGTATTGTCTTTAATCTCTTTCAGTTTCCAGAATATGGATAACGCTTTTCGTCTTTCGGTTTCCAATCTTTCTTCTGCACATATCGGGCGATATCCGGTGTCACTTCCAGCCGTAAGTTCAGCGCCTGCCCAGTGGGGGTGGGCTGAGGTTTACCCACATTACCCCATCTCTTGACTATGGGCATGCCGGACTGGCTAAGATTCCTACTGGCAGTGATGAACAGAAGCCTGTCAATGAATTCGATCATTTCTCCCTCGTATTTCAGGGATCCTTCGCACAATTCTCTCATGCCGGCTGAAACTTCGAAATTACTGATGGCCTCGAGCTGACTAGGGTAACGGTCCCGTATCATAGCCAACCACTTTACCTTTGGCATGATGATGGGTAGGGTTTCTATCTCCCACTGGACGTCGAAGTTGTGGTTTTGAAGATCCCGAATAATTTGCATGTACGGGTGGTCCTTTTCTTGAACACGGATTAGAGCGTCGCGCGGGTACGGCAGAGAATTCATAGATCCGGGTCGATGGATGACCAAAATTTTCCCGAAATCAGAAACTGTCCTCATTACATTTCCGTAAAACTCCCTCGGATTCTCGAAGTATTGGATACAGTCCATTAATAAAACGCGATCAAAAGAAGGACCTTTGTAGGGTGCGTCACGTGCCATTTTTTCGAAATATTCTTCCGCGCCAACTCCGGCAATAGGGATGGAGACCCGCTTGGTTTTGCAAATGGTTTCGACGTGCGCGTTACAGCCCGGTATTACGCTGCAAGTTGGCTCTAGGAGGCAGAATTTGTGTTCGATTTTCTCCACCAAAGATCCTTTGTCCTCGCCAATGTAGCAAAACCTGAAAATATAACAAGAGGGTTTTAAAGCGGAAAATTGTTAAAAAACGAAAAGCAAATAATACGGGCGTTGCGGATAGAAGATATTACCTGCATAACTTATAAATAACGAAGTGCTTTATGACAAATAATGAATCATATAAATGACGGAGTTTGGTACATATTTTCCAGTAGGCCTATTACTAACACGGGCTTTACCAGGAATAATTTCACTGTAGGCCTAATTAAACTGTCTTGAAAATAAAGCAAGACTGTTAAGTTTGATAGTTCGCGGTTGCAGTTAACTAGAAATATTCTAGATTCCGTCTCGTTTGCCTCAACATACAGTATAGCTACTGCCGGGGAACAACATACGTAGGCCTACACGTAGGCCTACCTATAAGCATGAACACATAGGTGCGTAGGAAGCAGATTTTAGGTGTATGTGTGTGCGTGTATGTGTGGGGGCGGGGTGGTTACGACAAAGGAAAACATTAGCTTGACACGATTTATATTTAAAATATTTTAAATTATGTAAACGTTTTGGATTTAAAAAGTGGAAGCAGTCTCTTTCCCCCCCCCCCCCCCCCTTATATATGTGACTGACTTGTTTGAAAAACACAGGGGGGGTTACACACACACACACACACACACACACACACACACACACACACACACTGACGTACACATTTACACACACAAGTACGCACACAAACACGCACGCACCCCACACGCACGCACACAAACACACTTTCCAGCTACCACACCTATAATATGCATGTGCATCGCGTGCACGTGCACTCGTGCGTGTCTTACCTATCAGCAGTCCCCAGCTCCAAATGTTTATGTATCAGCTGGAACATGTTTTCTTCCCACGTCTCCCCGAAGCTGTGCTGCTCATCCTCTCTGTATTGAGGAATCTTCAGCCGGTTCCGGTACGTCTCCGATATCACGGCAAAGGGCCTGGGACTTTCGGGGCCCAGGTAGTTCGCCATGATGTGGAATCAGATCTATATGATATCCTGGTGTCTGGATGCTAAAGGGATCCTTTCCAATAACAGGGGCAGTTTTGGGTCTCCCTTAAAAAATCCCCAAGTAACCTGGTAAAATGATACACTTCCTAGAGATATGGTGAAATAAGATCTCCCCAGACCTGTACGTGTCAAGCCTGCTTAAGAGGTTACCAAGGCCGCTGTCCGCTGTGGTCCCCTTAACTGTCAACAGACAAATTTTGTGAGTGAACGAAGTCGCTGGCTGTCCACGACTCGGTGTTAACTGGGTTGAAGATCGGGCATTCAACCCCTAGCCGAGGGAAAACGTGACACAATCACTGCTTTGGTCTATCTGACACTGTTTGAGTGGCCTAACGGGACTAAGACCCGTCACTAGTTGTATTCAGTTGCTAGTGGGTCGATAGCTGCAGCAATGTTTTAATTCCTTGTGTCACGCTCTTGGCTCTGAAAATGTAAATACAAAGCAGCCCATTTACAAACATATGGAGAGTACTATATGATCAGTGGGAACATTATTATAATAATATCCATGTAGCCTGGGAAATAGTTCCCGGACAAACTTACCCGTTGTTAAAATACATTAATTAGCTCTTTAGAACATTGATTAGTCACTGGTCAAGCTGTGGACACACACCGCAACCTGTCACACGAACTGTTTAAGTAACTCCTTTAACGACACAGTCACTTAAAATACTACATAGACACCAACATTATCAAGGTCTACTTACAGTTAAGTGCACTAAATATAACTTAATCCGAATGTTAACTTACAGGGAGATTTTCTAGAAAGACGTGATCGGGTTAGAAAGCCAGTTCACCTCGGTTTCTCCTAATGTCTGTTTCCTTCCTTGATTAGATCATGCTAACAGGTAATAATTACACACACCAAACCAATCCAGTCTATACCTAAGGGCCATTCATATCGATTAAATGAAGTTCAATTCCCCTTCAATTACTACGTGGCCTCGCTTTCGTCTCTTCTCTCACGGGTCAATAGTTAAACACCAAACCCGGTTGCTAAGGACGCCATAATAGGGTCTCGGATTAACCCTCTCTCATGTTTGCTGACTGACTGTGCCCGCGGTTAAATCGACAATATCGACGTGTGCTGTGTTATTGTTGACATAACTCCATTGGCCAATGAAGTGTGTTTGAAGCGGGAAATTGCAGTGATTTGACTTGATAGGTAGACCGCTAACGGTGTTTATAAAGATAGAAAAGGCGTGTTTCTCCTTTCAAGGCTTCATGTTAGATCACGCAATAACATGTCTTTGTGTTTTATTTATGTTTTATTCATTTTTTAAAGATATTTTTCAAATATGGTATGAGTGCAAAGACAACAATAGAAGATGAATGCTGAGAGAGAGAGAGAGAGAGAGAGAGAAAGGGAGAGAAAGGGAGAGATACTCAACAAAGATATTTAAAGTGCCTAAGGTTAAACAACAATATGGACAGCAGCACTATGAACTACCATGGTGTTGTAAGGGACGCGGTGACGCCCCATAGCATGCCCCACGCCCCCTAAGATGCCGCGCGCCTCTTGTGACACTTGTCTCGTGGGACTAGATAATATCTCAAGGTAATATTTCACTAAGACATGTAAGGAAGAGCTGGATATAAATAGTACATGTGGTGGGGAGATGAGGCACCTTATGACTAAATTAGGTCATAAGAACTTAGGCAGTGGGAACAAAGCTGTTTGGAAATCCACGACTCTAGTTGCTAACTTCTTATAGATCTGTGAATATAAAATCGAACCTTGCATACAGTGTGCTTGGTCAAGAAATACGAGTGTTCATCATATTGTTGACCGCAACCCGATATTTTATTACTACGATTTTTTTTTTTTGGGGGGGGGGGGTGCGGATATGCACGATACTATATACATATATATGGGATGGCATTGCAATATTTGAAATGTACACAAAACGGATATATGCCACAGTTTCAACCTTCATTTTGGATAGAGTAGGTGGATATCACCGAGCAAGGGGCGATATAAAGGATGGGACTTTTAACGATTTAACGCCAAAACTTTCTGCTTTATTCTCTGTGTGTGCATGTGTTTGTGTGTGCGTTTGTGCCTGCGTGTGTGTGTGCTTGTATGTGTGTAATTGGTTTGTGGTTGCGTGTGTATTATCAGAGAAATGGGTCAGTATACTTATATAGTCTGCTGCTCCTCTGTCCTTTTCACACAAAGCCAAGTGAAATTAATATACTTTTTTACATTTCTGTATTTCATTTTCATTTATTCTTTCAAAATGATATGAAACATATTGAATGGCATTGACTCTAATCCATCTGCATTTTGTTAGTTGAAATTTCAAACTGTCATTAATAGTTCATAATATTTCTTCGTGGGTTTCAATCATTTATTAAGTTTTCTCTTTAAGTTGAAGGCACTTTTAGGCAGGATTAGATAGATTTTTTCTTGGCGACGATCATATAGACTCCACTTGAGTTGGCAAGACCGCCGCCCGTCGACTCTTCCCCTTCATACCACGATATCTCATCTAACCCAGCAGATTTCAGAGACCGGATGTACTCTTCCTTCTCCAAACTTCTTGCAGAAAAATGAACATCTCCCACAATATAGGCGCTCTGCCGCAGACTGTTCACAATGATGAGATGGCCACCATCTTTGAGCAGTGACGTCACATTTCTGATGACGCGAACAAATGTGACGTCATCTGAGCACGCAGCCTCGAGACAAAAAATACTGGTGACGCAATCGAAAGGTTTGCTCAATACTGAGTGCAGTGGGTTGGGGTTTCTGACGTCACACGGGTATATGGTGCTCATTTTGTTGCGGAAACTTTCCTTCAGAGCCATCCAATTTTCCCTAAAGTAACAACAATCATATCAGTAATTTACATCATATAATAAACCCACGTGATGTAAAATAATGTATTTTTTCCTTATAAGAAAACTATAGACCTACTTAACTTTTTCTTGACATTCCATACATGCATTTCAATGGTATCGTAGATCTATGTGAACAAAAAACTGCGACTAAATATGTTTTGTCAGCAAAAGGCATGATGTACCAACCTGTTTTACAATGGAAAGCGAATTTTTTGTCTCCTCTCTTAAAGTAAAAACTGGTTTCCGAAATACTGTTTTAACAAACTTAAAGGTTTGTAAATGTCTCAAAAAATATACTTTTTGTTTTAAAATTCCCTTTATCTTTCTCAATCCAGACCTTAGACATAATAAATTCCCTCAAATTAAAGTACCTGACATCGATTCCTTCTTCTAATTGTCTGCCTTTAAGAACTAGCTAAAATCATTCAACTAGAAATGGTATAAGACACCAAAGTGTTTGAAAATTTAGAGCAACGAATCACTAAGAGCAGATTTTTTTAATGAATTTGGGTCGTCAGTCCCGGAAAGGAAATTTATAGAGCAAATGTTAAACACTCACTCTTCTCCTTCTAAAGCGGTCACACATTTGAAGGTTGAATCCCAGTCAAACGCCCCTGCCTCGCCATCTCTCCATTTTCTCAGTGCCTCTCTGTTCTTCTCTGTGAGGTCACTGAACGCTAGCTCGTTAAAATACTTGGAAAGTATGACATGGTGGGCAATAGTTGGACCACTGCCTAAATCCAACAGTCTAGCTCCGCCTATTCTCCCTGACGAATATGAATAAATAGATACATTATCAGATTGTTTTGTGAGTATTATCTCTTAGCTGTGATTGGAGTATGGCAAACAAGTGACCCAAAATTTGAGTGTTGATTTCTGCACTACACAATTACTAAACTGAGACTATCTCACATAATATGCATTTTAAGAGTTGTTTTAGATAGGTACACCGAATTAATCACCTTGAATTAAACCCAAGTCCCTTTCCTATTTCAACTCCGTACATCAGCTGCAGCAAACGTTCACTAGTTTGCACATCTTGGATATAGAAGCTGGAAGGGGATTAATGGTTTGTAAAGACCATTAATTCGATGAATCCATGCTTCTAAATCTCTCTTTTTTCGTGAAATGATGCAAAATATTCTCAGTGACATAACTGCCCACTGTGCAACAGAAAAAAGGCATGCGGGGAGACTAAAACATATTGGTGTATGCCGGTATTTTTCACAACTGTTTCGTGCACAAATGATGGTATATTACCTGTCGAATCCCGATTACCTGTTTCTTACATAGGACAGGCATAACACCCCTGATCGATTTACAGATATATATATATCTATATATATATATGCTTATTATAAAATGGTGGGTTTCCGGTAATCTCTGAACTCGCTGGTACTCAGGGTGAATTATTTATTTATTTATTTATTTATTTATTTATTTATTTAAACACCTCTGTAAGATTAATAAAATTACAAAAAGACGAATTGAGTAAATTAGATAAAATGAGATGGAATTAAATAGAAATTACAGAGACTGTAAAAGAAAAGTAACTAAAAAGCTTTTAAAAGTAGTCCCACAATATACATGTGTATCCTTCAGATTGTCTGTTCTGCTACTGGGACTATTCACTTAAAGTCTCAGTGTGCATCAAAAATGAACTAGACTAGACAGCAATTTTGGTAACGGTAAATATTGGATAGTGGCATTTTTTCAATTTGTTTTTATATCCCGCTATAAAGAGTGAAACAACGCGTTGAAGAAGTGTAGGCGCTGCTGAGATTTCCAAATATTTCTTTTTACTTATGATATTTAGCGTGAATTTGAATAATTTCTAGTCGCAGTCGGCAGTTTTTTTTTCTAGGATTGCTAGAAGACTTTCTAACCCTATATGTAGGTATAGGCCTATGCCTAAGTGTCTGTCTCTTTTATGTACGTATTTCTGTGCGAGATTCGTCAAGTACTGGAGCCCTAAGAAGATACAGGCCCGTATCCATCAAATTCAAAAGGGGGGTTCTTTTTCTGAAAAAGTGACCCTGGTACAATGAAATTTTTGTGTACCTAGATCAAATTTTACCCAAAATGGACCTTTTCCTTACAAAAAGGGTGGTTCTTTCGAACCCCCCTCCCCCCCTCCCCTGGCTACGGGCCTGAGGTAAATTATCAGTATTCGACTACACAAGTTCACTTCACTTCAATTTTTGCCCATTTCTTTATATCTGCTTGCTTTTATTATCATTTTGATTCGCCGCAAATTTATACCTGTAAGATAGCTAATGATATGACAGCTATATAAGCTTAGCAAAATTAGAGACTTCTTGCAAGCTGCTGGAGTACCCTATCTGCTTGGTGAATGGGGTACTGATTAAGATGCTCTTGCACATTTGCAGCAAAACTTAAACAACAACCTGCAAACAATTTTTGCTTTGCATACTGTTTAGTTTGCAGCAAATTTAC